GAAATCAAGTCCTGTCAGTCGCAATTACAAAGAAAGAAAGAAACAGCATGCACTGCTCTGAGTGTATATTTACAACAGAATAAATTGCTCAGAATGAGAAGATATGAGGATGCAACTTTTGGCATCTTGGAGGATAATTATTGGTCCTTGATATAAAGACAACTACTTCCTCTTGACAAAAAAAAAGAGAAATGAGATACATCACTCAAAGCAAAGATAAAAGGTGGCATAGATTTGCATTTAAAAAAAATACCTTGGGGAACTTCTTTCATCTGTTACCACTGCCAGCCATTCTAGTAGGCTGCAGTCAAGGGAGATGAGACTTGAGGCAAAGCTGGTCCATCAGTCCTGAAGAATATCTCCTTGCCTCTCTTCTTCCTTCACTGTGTCATGTCTGATTGGATCAATGATTAATAACATATGGTCCATAGACAGCATATGGCCCCAAGGCCATATTGGCAGCCTGTGAGCTCCTCTGGAGTTCCCTAGCATGCATTTTCTGGTGGGAGGAATGGATTTCCATACTGAAGATCCCCAGGAGCACCAAAGTTGGATTTTTCAGTGTCAAAAAACATTCAAGATACTATATTCATAAATGAGAAATAAAACTATGGAGCTACTTCTATGGCTTCAATCATTTATGCATTCATTAGCATCTGGAGGCTTGGCAGAGGATCCCAGAGGTCAGAATTTAGTCTTCAGACCTCACATAGTTGTTCATCCTTTTGCGACCAGTTCCATCACTCTCCTCACACAGGGAACTATGAAAGCTCTCTCAATCCTTGTATTTTCCTAATATGATGGGGAACCTGAATTCCTTTAGGGTGTCTAATTGCATACCTTCCAACATTTCATAGATGAACACCATGGTATACTTGAGCAAACAACCTAGAATATGGGCAGTGTAACAAAAGTTGTTATTGAGAGATAACAGACAAATTAGGAGAGACTGCGTCACTTTGCTATTGTCTGAGACTACAGGGAAGGACAGTTTTCTCCTCTTCTCATCTCTCTTTCCCCCATTGACTTAATTAAATGCAATTTGCACTTTGAACTCAGTTTGCACTGACAGAAATAAGGTGAGAAAAAGGAGAAAATGAAAGGCGAAAAGTGTAGACTGGAACATTTTAAAAGCATCTGAAATACTGTGGAGGGCAGAGGATTAACCAGCACTATCCAGGCAAGAGGGTATGCAGTCGTATGGAAATTTCTACAAACTGTTCAAACTTAAGGAGAAACAAAACTAATGTCAGCCTCTCTTTACATGTTAATTTGACATATTTCCAAAATAGGTTTTCCACCTCACCTGCATATTCCACTTATGGAAGTAAATCCACAAATCAGTTTGGAGGGGAAATGTTTACTTTAACACCTACTAAAATATTAAAAAAATGTCCATCTGTTTAAAACATTTTGCCTTTTATGTTATGTTTAAAAACATCAGCTAATGCTATTCATAAAACTAATAATGTGCGGTGTCAGTGAAACAGGCAGAAAAGCTGGCAATTATGGGAGCACTGCAGTATGATGAACAGTCACAAGCATAATTTTCCCTAATTTTTAAAAAGTCAGATAACATATGGATGTAAATTTCAGCTCACTTGAAGCACCCTTGTTTGAGCTTAAAACGAAACACTACGGAAATTCAGCCCAGCCCCACAGCTAACAAACCTTGTGGCTTTCACACTGACACAAATAACATGATGTCTCTTTCAGAGGAAATCCCTGCTTCAAGGTTGTCACATCCTTGAGTTTGCTTTCATGAATTCACTGTGCTTCACCGAAGCACCTTCATTTTTCACTCAAACGGGTATTTGGAGTGCAAACCGCCTGCTTACCTGGCAGCTTAGCTCTGTGTTTGCTGCTTAAAAAGTGTTCCCCTTTGATGCACCTGAGAGAGGAGATGAAATAAAGCTCTACTCATCCAGGATGTCTTTTTGAGCTGGGGGTTAATGACAGTGACAAATGGCACATCCTACAGATGCACATAGTGCTGTCGGATGATTATGTCAAGGAGCTTATTAAGAGAAGCGTAGCACCCAAATTCTCCATCTGTGCAGATGTTTGTTTCACTGTCATTTCGGCTAGGAGCAGAATTTTTCTCAAAGCCAACTGTATTACACCAGAACATAATGCTCCTAAAAACATGGTAAATAGAAACACAGGTGTGGAACCATTTGGCTCCATGTCAAGAAATGTCATCTGAGCAGATAAAAGAATGTGGCAAAAGTCTGAGAAGAAGAATAGAACTTGACTATGACATTTTTCAGTGGTGGAGAGGGAGCAGAAAAGGTGCCTGAGACTCTGAACATGTCTACAGTTCTGGAAAAATCCAGAAAAAATATGGCTATCTGGTTCAAGGTTGCATCAATATTTCTGTCACTGCTGCCTCATTGGAGCAAGCAGCATTCTCCCCAGAAGCTTGCTGGAAACAATGTATTTCTGGTCACATAGCACGGCACATGGCATGACTTCACAGGAAAAGTGACATCACTAGCAAGTGCCTATGAGAGAGGGGCTTGCTAACAGTGAGGCAACAATGGCCCATTGGCAGTTTGTCAGATCCACACTTCCGACACTGCGGGATCACTTCAGACATTCCAGGAAGCTTTGGAGTAAATCCTGTGTTCAGCTGTTATGGGGGAAGAGCTGGATGCAATGTGCAGCGAAACCAACTAGTGCATCATGTGGACCCCCTGTGGAACTGAGTAGTGAGCAGGGGCGGCTCAACCTATTACGCAAAGTAAGCATTTGCAGTATAGTTGATTTTGCCCAGGGGCGCTCTTGAGGCGCTCTTGGGGGAAAATAGACCTTGGCATATGCAAGTTGTAGTTACTGGGATGTATAGTTCACCTAAAATCAAAGAGCATTCTAAACTCCACCAATGATGGAATTGAACCAAATATGGCACACAGAACTCCCATGACAAAGAGAAAATATGTATCAGTGATTGGTTGGCGGGGGGGGGGCGCAAAATACTGTTTGTTTACCATTGAAAATTACCTAGAGCCGCCTCTGGTAGTGAGACTATCCAGACAAACATTAAATACTGAACTTGCTGCTATCCCTATAAGGGCCAGAGATAAGTACTCTCCTTTTGTGCATTTATTCTAACCTGGTGAGGAACATAACTATTAATTGATAAAAATGTTGCACATGAATCTTGAAAATCCTGGGATTGCAGTTTAAGGAATGAGAAACAACCAGAAAATTCTAGTAGTGCCTCATCAAACTGCAGGATTCTGTGGATGTTTTCATAGCAGTGAAAGTGGAATCATAGCAGATCTCAAGATAGTGGCTTGATTATACAACAGCAAAAGAACAGGGCCTGGGAGCAAAGGGGACGCAAAGTAAACTAGGATATTTTTTTTTTAAAAAAATGTTACTTAATGCTGTAGATTAGATTGGGAAGTCAGACTTGGCCATGGTAGTTCATACTGTGGTTACATCCCAAATAGACTACTGCAATGCACTCTACATGGGGCTGCCTTTGAAGACTGTTCAAAAGCTACAAATGGTCCAACAGGTGGCAGCCAGATTGCTCACCAGAGCGGCGCACAGGAAGCATACCACCCCCCTGTTATGTCAGCTCCTATTGCCAATCTGCTACCGAGCAAAATTCAAAGTGCTAGCTTTAACCAATAAAGCCCTAAATGGTTCTGGCCCAGCTTATCTGTCCGAACTATCTCCTTCTATGAACCACCATGGAGATTAAGATCATCTAGGGAGGCCCTGCTCTCGGTCCTGCCTCCCTTGCAGGCATGATTGATGGAGACAGGGCCTTCTCAGTGATGACCCCTCAGCTATGGAACTCCCTCCCCAAGGATATTAGATCAACCCCCTCCCTGCTGACCTTCTGCAAGAGAGTGAAAACATGGCTTTGTGACCAAGCCTTTAGAGAACTTGTGCAATAGATAGACTTGGAACAATGTGCAATGACCATTGGAATGGCCCAGATTATGCTCATGGATTATGTATTTAACTCTGAATGTATTGTTTTGAAATGTTTCAATTGTTTTTCGTGTACTTTTTAATTCTATTTTAATATTTATTTAAGTGTGCATTGTGTTTTAAGGCAGCGAATCGCTGCCTGTATGTAAAGCCGCCTTGAGTCTACTCTAGGGTGAAAAGGCCGGGCATAAATGTTGTAAATAAATAAACGGATTAAGCACTGCCATTATTTCTAATATGTCTTATGGAAAAGGGAAAAAAATATTCATCACTACAATTACAGAGAGATGGTTCTCATATCTGTATTCAATAAATTTCTTATTGCTGGATATACCCATTTGTGCCACATTAGATTAGCCTACATATTATGCAAAAGAAAGCACTCACAATCAAGAAGTCATTGTACTTTATTAGCAAACTCTCCAAAAGAACATAATTCATTTAAGTGTTTGAAAGTCATTTTGATGAGTGGATACACTCTCTCTTTAATACATTGATTACATGATACAATTTCTAGATTGAAACTTTCATTGTTTTACATTAGCACTCAATCTGAATTCATAGGCAAATTTTCTTGACACTATTGATGTGTTTTGAAGAAATGATCAAATGATATTTTTAGCAATTTAATGCAAGTCATACTGGGGAAAATCCTACAATTACAGACTCATTCAGATTATAAAATATCAGTGCCAACTCTAAAGGTCATGAATTAGGGAGAAGTAAGAGACTTGATCTCGTCTGCTAGGTCCTAAAACTGAATTCATATCCCAATTGATAAAACTGGTAACTTTAATTATCTACTGACCACAGAATTAAAATACAAAATCTTTTGTGAAACTTTCTATGACCTTTTACAAGTTGCATATCTATTTTCTTATGTGCTGATTGATGCCATGCATTTCAATGCACTTTCAATTAATGTATGTATATTTATTAAAAGTATAAATATATGAACTATGATCTGGATCAGAAAATATGCTTTTAAAAAATAAACAAGAGAGAAAGGGGATATTCTCAGATACTTCACTCAACTCCACATGCCATATTCATAACAAGCTGTCCAATACTTCATCTGGATATAAAAGGAAGCCAGAAAATATGCTGTCATCTTCAGCACTAACATAAACCCCATTCCAATCTCGTGTGACTTCCAGCCAAACATGATCTCCGACATTTAATTTCAAAATGGTAAGGAAGGACGCCTGGTCTATCTCTTGGCCATACAGGGTTTCCCGGCTTCTGATCATTTTCTTGTTCTGACATACGATGCTGATTCGGGCAGGCCGCCCTCGTATTGTCATATGGTAGGAAAAGATGTAAGCCCCAGGAACGGAGCAATTAAATTTCCCCGTCAAAGGATTGTAATCTTCCTGTTCATTGTAGAGTATCTTGTCAAACTTAATGGGTGTGTTGGGGGGTGGGAATGGCTTGGATAAACCAACACTAAATGCCGATCGTGGGGCTCTTATGACCTCACCCTTTGAGCCCTTGGGACCTCTTGCACCTTTCTTCCCAGGAGGTCCTCTCATGCCTTTCAAGCCAGGAACTCCTTTCATCCCAGAAGGCCCCATCATCCCAATTGGACCAGGCTCGCCTTTCTCACCTCTCACACCAGGGTCTCCCTTTTCTCCCTTTTGCCCATCCTCACCAAGTCCTCCTTCCACTCCTACATCTCCTTTGTTGCCCTTTTCTCCTTTGAGCCCCCTTTCCCCTCTTTCTCCTCTTTCTCCCTTTTCCCCAGGATCTCCACAGGAACCCTTTTCACCAACATCTCCCTTTTCTCCCTTTTCTCCATTTTCCCCATCCACACCTGATAATCCCAGTTCCCCTTTGTCTCCCTTTTCTCCTTTGGTGCCATTCTCACAAGTTTCTCCCTTGGAGCCCTTTTGTCCCTTAACTCCTGGCAGACCATGATTTCCTTTGTCTCCTTTAAATCCAATTTCACCTGAAAATGTAAGCATAGTAATACAAGGTCAGAAAGAAAAGTAAGTCTTTTACAGTAAAAAAAAAAAACATAGCTTACTTTGTACATTTCTCCCTTTGGCTGCCAAATGGTGTACGTATTACCACTGGGTCACCTTCTTCCTTGTTGGCTAAGCGGTTCTGGAGCTATTATCTAAAACTTTAATAATTCCAAGCTCTGTGTGTTTGTCTACATGGGCATTATAACCCAGATTACCCTGAGTTGGCTCGTTTCTATCCCCATGATGTTTCTCCACTTATGGTAAATATCATAGATTCAACAATGTTAATCCAGTTTAGTTCTGCATTAGTAATTTGGAAATTTGCTCAAAATTTACATTCATAACTTTAGTCTGAAAAGCAGTATTGGGTCCAGTTCAGTCTGACCAATGTCCACATAGGGTAATGTCATCATCTCCTTTTCTTTGCACAGCTGAGTGCAGGGAAAAGGGGGTTGATCATATCCATGTCATTGCCGTCACTGCTTCCAGAAAGCTACAACGCTCCATTACACCTCCTGCCCATTGTGAGCCACTGAGCATCCCATGCTGGCATCAGCAGAGGTGCTCATGCAACCAGTAAGAAAGTGGAGACATCAGCAACCGCCTTCTTCCTGGCAATGTGGCCCCTCTGTTGATATCAGCATAGGGTGCACACCACGGCCAGTAGCTAGCATAGAGTTATGTGGTCAGTTGGGAGTGACAACAATGGCACAGATATGAGTTGACAGTCCCATGAGGCTGATGTGGTCTCAGCCTGGCTGGACCACATGGATTCCAATGTGCTGCTGCAGCAGATTCATGAGGGTTTCACCATGTGCTGAACACTACACTGGTGTGTAGGAATACCCTGCTGTAGCCTCCTGCCATTTCTCAGATTCTCAGGCTCTCTCCAGCGCTTGTTTAAGTACTTTGCCATTTTATATAAGGGGTCCCATTTTACTGTGTCATTGTATACAGTGGAACCTGACACCCACAGATTTTGATGTCTGCGGGGGTCTTGGAACCAACCCACATCAGTTACCAGGGACTCACTGTAGTTAGAGAACTATTGTTAACAGGTTTCATGCCTCCTGTAACCAACCCCAGGAAAAAGACTGGTTGTAACATTCTTCACCAGTGAAGATTTATAAATACGTTTACATTCATTCATCTCAACCCTTTTGTGGCATACCTTGTTCTCCTGGTTTGCCTGGATATCCCGGGATTCCATTTGCTCCTTGCTCACCATGTTCACCTTTATCTCCTACAACATTTTAACAGTATTGTTTGTGATGCTGATACATGTTAAAAGACATAGCACATCCCATATTTTCTCTTTAGCTTAAAACAAAAGTACATCTTGCTGCAAATTGATATTTTAGGTCCAGTTTATATGGATACAACTATTACCTGGCAATGAAGGACTGTCAAAAAAGAATTCTAATACAGAACTACAGTATAAAGATTTAGCCTAATGAGAAATCTTTGGGGATGTAGCAACACTCAGCACTTGAAGACTATCAGATGTTTTAAAGAGAGCAGTAGTGATAGTGTTAAGTAGGTTCCAGTGATGTAATTTTCAGTCTCCTCATCCCTTGTCCACCTCTTCTAACCAACCTGATATGAAACTGATACCCTTGCGGATCTTTCCACCTCTTCAGTTCCCATCACTTGCTTCTCTCAATTCCAACAAAGGTGAAGCTAGTTTAGTTCACTTTATTTTTATCACTATAACTCCATGTCAGGCCTGTAGCGAGCGGGGGGGGGGGGGGGGGGCAAACCCATCCCCTGAAAATTTTCAGGTTAAAAAAACCTGGTTTACTCATGAATTTTAACTGGTTAACCAAATCCCCATGCTAAGTCTATGAGACACAAAAAATTAAGAGTCCCTCCAGAACTGCAAGCACTATCTCCAGCAAATATTGACAATTTATTCACACTGTCATTACTTGCAGCAATAGCCGATGTAGTGAAGCAACCAAGTTGGGGGGTGGGGGGAGTGTTGAATGCTCTCATTAAGGAGGCCAGACTTGGTGGAGGTGGTTGACAGGGGCAGAGCTACAGGCTACTGAAGGCCCTTCAAGGCCCAACCCTTAACTTTAGACTAAGGATCACCCTAAGCCTGAAATTTGGGGTCCCGCAGGGTTCTATACTGTCCCCCATGTTGTTTAACATCTACATGAAGCCGCTGGGGGAGATCATCCGGAGTTTCGGGGTGCGGTGTTATCTGTACGCAGATGATGTCCAACTCTGTCACTCCTTCCCACCTACTACTAAGGAGGCTGTTCAGGTCCTGAACGGGTGCTTGGCTGCTGTGTCGGACTGGATGAGCAAACAAATTGAATCCAGACAAGACAGAGGCCTCCTCGTCAATCATAAGTCCGAACAGGGTATAAGGTTACAGCCTGTTCTGGATGGGGTTACACTCCCCCTGAGGGCACAGGTTCGCAGCTTGGTAGTTTTCCTAGACTCATTGCTGAGCTTGGAATCTCAGGTTTTGGCAGTGGTCAGGGAAGCATTGTGACATAAACTTGTGCGCCAGCTGCGCCCGTACCTTGGGAAGTCTGACTTGGCCAGGTAGTCCACGCTCTGGTTACATCCCGCATAGATTACTGCAACGCGCTCTACGTGGGATTGCCTTTGAAGATGGCCCGGAAGCTTCAAATGGTCCAGCGTGCAGCAGCCAGGTTGCTAACAGGAGCGGCGCTCAGGGAGCACACAACTCCTCTGCTGCGCCAGCTCCACTGGCTGCCAGTTTGCTACCGGGCCCAATTCAAAGTGCTGGCTTTAGCCTATAAAGCCCTAAACGGTTCTGGCCCAGCCTACCTATCCGAACGCATCTCTTCCTACGAACCCTCCAGGAAGTTAAGATCATCTGAGGAGGCCCTGCTCTCGATCCCGTCTGCTTCGCAAGCATGCTTGGCGGGGACGAGAGACAGGGCCTTCTCTGTGGTGGCCCCTCGGCTGTGGAACTCCCTGCCTAGGGATATTAGATCAGCCCCCTCCCTCCTGACCTTTCGTAAGAGAGTGAAAACCTGGCTCTTCGAGCAGGCATTCGGAACCCCGGAATAGATAGTCAAGCTTGAGATGGAGAATGACCCAGGAACGGCCAAGACGATGAAAGGATGAGGATTGGAATGAGAGGATATAGCTCTTTTTAAATTGTTATTGCACTGTCTTTTTTGTCTAAATGCACTTAATTGTTTTTGCTTTTGTATTGTATTGATGGCATCGAATTGTGCCGATATGTAGACCGCCCTGAGTCGCCTGCGGGCTGATATGGGCGGGATATAAGTGATGTAAATAATAAATAAATAAATAAATAAATGACTTGAAGGCAAATAACAACAATAATCCTAATTAACTTGACTATCTTATCAGACAAAAGCAGGCCCATGCTTCTCACTGAAATATTGGTAAGTTTATGCTGGTAAAATTGTTCTTAAATTTAAAGATTGTATTGTTCTTTCATGTTTTTATCACTAGAAATAAGACATGTACAGTGCACATAGGAATTCATTCATATTTTTTTTCAAATTATAGTCTGGTTCCCCAACAGTCTGAGTGACCAAGAACCAGCCCTCAGCTTTAAAATTTTGAGGATCCCTGCTCTTGGGCTTCTGGAGGTTTTGACGTCAATGGCTGGATTGAGCTGGCTCCAGAATGAGCCAAAGTCCACACATTAAAGAGACCTGCCATTGTTTTGCTGGCCAGGAGCAGCTCCCAGGCAGAGCTATGCTGATAACCATTTCCGGTGATCAAATGGCTGGGTCCCCTGTGTGATCTCATCAAAAGTAATGTTACTCTTCTGGGAAGCTGGTCCTGATCAGCAAAACAGTGAAAGTGTGTTCCTCCAGGAGTCAGGGTTTTGCTGCCCATGTACTGCCAAACTGACTGGCCATTTCGACTGCAAAATTAACATCAGGGCACTTCTTTGCCAGTATCTATGGATTCCCTTTTTCCCCTCAAAAAAACTGAGAATAATGAATCCCAAGAAATTTATGGCAATGTTTCACTTCGTCTCCATCCTTACCTTTGAGTTGTTGTAGATTTTTTGGGCTATATGGTCATGTTCTAGAAACATTGTCTCCTGACATTTCCCCTGCATCTATGGCAAGCATCCTCAGAGGTTATGAGACCTCACAACCTCTGAGGATGCCTGGCATAGATGCAGGCAAAATGTCAGGAGAGAATGCTTCTAGAACATGGCCATATTGCCCCAAAACCTACAAAAACCCAGTGATTCAAGTCATGAAAGCCTTTGACAATGCATCCTTACCTTTGTCTCCTTTTAATCCTTTTGGGCCTTGTAGTCCAGGAGTTCCTGGTAAACCTGGAAGACCCTTTTCTCCCATATCTCCTTTAAGACCTATTTTTTAAAAAACAAACATTTTGAATAAATATTATGTAAAACAATTCACAGATCAAAGGACTAAAGAAATCCCTCTATCAAATGAACTATGGATAATGCAACCACTACCAGTTTCCCCCAGTTAAATTGTTTATAACAATACTTCTCAACTTTCCTAATGCCATAACCCTCAACTATAAAATTATTTTAGTTGCTGTTTCATAACTGTAATTTTGCTACTGTTATTAATCATAATGTAAACATCTGATATGCAAGATTTATTTTCATTCACTGGATGAAATTTGGCACAAAAACCCGATATGCCCAAATCTGAATACTGGTAGGGTTGGGGGTGGGGAGATATTGTAGTTGCTGGGATTTATAGTTAACCTACAATCAAAGAGCATTCTGAAATCCACCAGTAATGGAATTGAACCAAACTTGGCACACAGAACTCCCGTGACTAAAGGAAAATACTGGAAGGGTTTGTTGGCATTGACCTTGAGTTTTGGAGTTGTAGTTCACCTGCATCCAGAGAGCACTGTGGATTCAAACAATGATGGATCTGGACCAAACTTGGCATGAATACTCCATATGCCCAAACGTGAACACCAGTGGAGTTTGGGAGAAATAGACCTTAACATTTGGGAGTTGTAGTTGCTGGGATTTACAGTTCACCTACAATCAAAGAGCATTCTTAACCCCAATTAGGCCAAACTTCCCACACAGAATCCCCATGACCAACAGAAAACTGTCCCTCTAACAACCCCCTCGCAACCCACCCAGCTTGAGAAATGCTGGTTTATAAGGTGGGTAGGCTCAACACTGTCAGACAATGTGTTCTTAATTTTACCTTCTTACAAGGGGCATCTATTTTCAACCTTAAATATGAAGACCCTTACAAGCACAAAGTCTCCTTAGAAGTGCTCTTCATGTGTTCAATGTAGTCTACTCCCAAGTAAGCATCCATAGGACTGAATGCAGGCAGCTCTTATTATTTCTTGGAGGGTTCAATGTCAACAGCTGCCTCAATATTACTTAATACAGTTTCAGCATCCCTTGTCCAGAATTCAGTCTTCAAAAACCTTTTTAAAAATCTCAAAGAAAGATAGCAAGGAGGGTGCCAGTTTAATCTCTTTTAGAGCCCTTACCCACTACCCTATATCAGGGATGTGATCCCAAATTATCTGTTTATCTCAGGTTATCTGGCAGTGGGGACTCATATATTCTAGTTTGAATCAGATAATCTGGAATAAAGAGCAGTGTGGAAAAGCTCTTAGAAGGAAGTTCCAGAGCCTTAGAGCAAAATCAAGTACCTATCTCATGTTTCCATCAAATATATTTTAGAGTAAAGATGGACAGAGAAAAAGCTCTCTATGGAAAATCTCAAAATATAGACAGGATCATATGGAAATATCAGAAATAGGAATTACAAAATAGTATAATAATAATTCAATAATATTTGGAGTTTCTCTACACAAACTCCAAAGTGGGCCAAAAAAAAACCTAATTTAGCCCTGCCTAAGGAAAATTAAAGAATGTTCCAAAGTAGCAACAAAATTCTGAAGCAACCCTGTACTTTGGATACAGTGTGGACAGCAGAGCAGTTCTGATGCAAACCAGTCTGCTGTCCACAAAGTCTCATCAATGTGCTTATCGATGCAGCGAAAAGGGGGTGGCTCAGGCTCAGGTCACCCCCATTCCCACTGTAGACAGCACCTGGCCATCAGCCAAGGCACCTAAATGACCATGGAAAAGGAAAAGAAACAGCCCCTCCTTCTCCCCAGTCATACTGGTGCCAGCACGGTGTGCCCATAATAACCAGAAGCTCTCCCAAAATTCTTCAGCCATCTAAAATTGCAATGGAAATGGAAACGAAAGGTCCAGCCAGACCAAATCAATTTCAGCCCAGCTGGTCCATATATACTCTTTCCTGCCACTGCAGTGAGCTAGTGATGGAGTATGTGAACACTTCTGGCGACTGCAGGTCTAGTCCAGACCATTTCTGCTCTGGACTGGTTCCAGTAGAATTGGCAAGTGTAGACAAGTCCTTGGATTAGAATGGATATTTGCTTTTCCATACCTGGCATTCCTGGTACTCCAGGTTCTCCCTTCTCTCCTGGGGTTGGAGGACAGCAATCACAGCAGTTAAAGAAAAAGTCAGATGAGTCAAGGGTAAAATTTTCAAAAGGGAAGAGTGTGGTGGCTGTTCTGAAGGCATAGTTCGGAGAAGACAATTCTGTCGTTGTGTCGCTCATTTCGGCTACTTCAGTGAAGAGACCATCTTCAGTAGGTAGTGCATCTGAAGCATCATGGCTTTCCGTAGCTACCCTTTCAATAGCTTTTATCTTAGTAAATTTTGGGAAAGGGGTACTTTTGCCCTCTATCTTCAGATTAGCAATAGTGATTATTATGATAAAGATGGCACAGAGTAAGTGCATGCGTCCCATTTTTGCAGCTGTAGGAAGAAATGGACAGACATGTAAAGAAACTCTAGACTATTTGCAAATTGTAAATTGCAAGAATAGTGGACCTATATCCTTCCCGTTGCTGTACTTCAGTTTTCATCAGCCCGTACCAGATAAACCAAAGCGAAGAGATTATAGCAGCACTAGTTCATTGGTATTATTGGGACACAGGCTGCCCACAGTGTGACCAGATCCTAGGCTAGACTAGATAGTGATTGAAACCATTGTTATTAAGTTGCAGTGTCTGACAGGCCTTTCTATAACTATAATAGATTTCTACACAATCCAAATACCTGGGGAAGGTAAGGCGATGTAGCTCCCAGGAACCTCTAGTTCCTACTCATGTGACTATATGCAACCCTATTAACCACCACCTTCCCATTTGGGTAGTTCCTCACCAGCTGACAGAATGAGATTCCCACTAAAGTTTGCTCTGGCCCTTCCATTCCTTTTCTCTCTAGGAAATAAAAGTTAGCTGACTTGATCATAAGCTTGGAGAAAGTACACTTTGCATGCCAAATATGATGCTTAACAGAGAATTATAGACTTTTAAAACGAGATATTACACTAATAAGGCACCATACAGCTTAGAATATTTCACTTAGAGTTACAAAAGTTTAATATAAGCAGTTTTAGAAATGACAACTGGTCAGAAAAACAAGATGCCTCTTGGTATGTTAGTTCCAAACAAAAGGAAGGAGTGACTACTTGAAGAATATAGCGATCCCAAAGGTCAAATGCTAACTCTGACTGTCAGCTTTCTTCACTTGTCTCCATGTTTAGATCCACTCACACAGTAAAAAAAAGTTATCCTTTTAAAACCTTAGCTTTGAACGTCTCAAACTTTTCCAGATCTTTATGAGACCCTACTCAGTAAAGGGTCTCTGTTGTGATGCCCCTTAACCAAATGCCCCCTAAGCCTTTGTTACCTTGGCACTGAACCATGTACAGCTTGGTTGCGGAGTTCTTTTGCAGTGATAGACATCAAATAGATGGTGATTAAGTATAATGGTAGAAAGATTATTATGATTATGATTATTATCCTAGCATTATTACACAAGAATGGCAGCATCAGGGAGGTCATACAATGATGTATTTATATCTTTGCAAGGACAAAAGAGAGAAGCCTGAAGGATTTGTTGTTTTTCAAGTCATTTCTGAGCTAAGACAAACCTATCATGAGGTTTTCTTGGCAAGATTTGTTCAGAGGGGTTTGCCTTTGCCTTTCTGCGGCATGTGATTTGGCACAGTTGTTTGCATAACCAAGCAATTGCTTGAGCAACTGATATTTAACAACAAATAGTCAGGACACTCATCTGTGAATTAGTTTGAATCCCAGCACTGTTCAGGCTGAACAAACAGTGTACTGGCTAAGGTCAATAAATAGCTGGCAAGCTGCTTCATCTTGGTGGGTTGCAAGTTGTGCAGATCTGCTACAAAATACTGTAGCACTCTGAATACATCTAGGACCACTAAATTCCAGAATTATAGTACAGTAGTATGATTCCACTTCAACTGTCATGGCTGCATTCATTGGAATCCTGGGTTTGCAATTTGGTGAGGCATTAAAGCTCTCAGGCAAAAATATCCTGCAATGCTGTAGGGTGTTGCCATATTAATACAAGAAGAATCATGCTGATACAATTGTTGAGTATGAAAGGCCTTCTGGTCTCATCTGATTTGGGCTGTTGAACAGGACTAAAGCAGATTAGTGCTTAGATGGAGGACCACAATGGAATTCCAGAGAGCTCCAGAGATTACTTAGAAAGAATCTTGGATGAAACCCTGAAGAGCATCACCAGCTGGAATACAAGGCAAGATAGATCAATGCTCTAATTCGTTATCGGGCAGCTCTCTGGATCCTCAGTGTAGTTTTAGATTATTTTATACCACCTTTGAGGGTGGCTTTCTCAAAGATTTTATAAATATTAGATTCTGTTAGGTGCATTCATACTATAACTGTAGAACAACCAAGAGACATTGAGAGAATTCAAACAGAGGTAAATAACTGTTTAAATTATTGTGAGCAGAATCAGTATATTTTTACACAATCTAAAGTCCTCATATTTTACACAGAGCAGAGATAGGAAATAGCCACAGGATGTAGTGGTTTGAGCAGTGGACTACGGCTCTGCAGAAAAGAGTTCCAATCCCCATGCAACCATGGGAACCTGCTGGGAGACCTTGGGCAAGTCACACTCTCCTAGCTTCAGGCATAGAATAGATCTGAATAGATCTTGGCAAAAAATCCCCAGGAAAGTTTCTCCTTAGAGTTGCCATAACTTAGAAACAGCTTGAAAGTACACAAGCAGAGATAGGAAGAGGTGAAGAAAAATGTATTCATCCCTTGGGGAGTTGAGAAACTGACTAGTACTAAACATCTGGAAATACCATACCCTCCCATGGCCCCAATTTGCCGTTGACAGTCCTGATTAATCCTTAATCTTCATTCTACTTTTGTATCTGCTTTTAAAATATTTATTTATTTATTTATTTATTTATTTATTTATTTATTTACTTCATTTGTTGACCGCCGCTCTCAGCCCTGGGGCGACTCGCGGCGGTGTACAACATATAAAAACAGTCTACAAAACATACCATAAATCAACAATTAAATTACACAATATCCCAAATATCCCACTTTCCCCTTTTGTCTTTAACTTCCTTCAGTTGCTGCCAACTGAGTTCAAAGGGAAAAAGTAGTTTGCACTTAGTTATTCAGATTCAGTAAAGGGGAGAGGAAGGGTTGACTCTGTCATTTTGGGTTGTTGTGTGTTTTCTGGGCTGTACAACCATGTTCCAGAAGCATTCTCTCCTGACGTTTCACTTGCATCTATGGCAGGCATCCTCAAAGGTGGTGAGGCCTTTGAGGATGCCTGCCATCCTCAAAGGTCTCACTGTATGCCTGCCATCCTCAAAGGCCTCCTCTGGACTGTATGGAACATGGCCATACAGTCTGGAAAACACACAACAGCCCAGTGATTCTGGCCATGAAAGCCTTTGACAATATCTTGTAATTTTTCCACACCCTGATGTTGCTTGGCCACACATGCCCCAGCCTTGACCCATGAAATGGTGAAGAGTGTGAGATCCTAATTCCAGATTTCCACAGATTACTTCCTGGGGTTCATTGTTAAGACATACAAATTACCATCTTGGTTCTCAGTGCAGGAAATCAGAATAGAGCAAGTAGCAGTAAGACGTCCCCATTAGCTGGAATCCTAGAGACAATGCTTGTTCCACTCCAAAGGGAGCTATTCCCCTTTATCATCTAATCTCTGTTCATGTCTTCCCACAAGACAAATGTTTTGGCATTGTGTCAGGGAAATGGGGAAATAATAATGAGGGTTATCGGCATTTTTTCAAAGCTTCTAACCAGTGGGGGTTAGAAGATGTTTTCCCCTCATTAGAACATCTTTTCACAAAAATGTTCCCTTCTTTTGATGAAATTGGAAGGCAACACATGGTTACATTGACTTGTTCCAGAGTCAGCAGGGGCTCACACCACTCAGTTAACACACCTTAAGCCCTTTGCAGCTCATTAAACTTTTCTTTATACCCTATGTATAGACTTCCCTTATCTCACATAAAGGTGGCCCATACCAAAGAAGCCAGCTGGGGACAGTTAAAATATATTTTCACACTCTGCTAAGTTACCCAAGTCTTGCTTTTTCCTACACAAGATAAGAAAACTCTTCTACAAGCCAATTAATTGCATGACTACAAACTACGAAAGATACAGCACTGGAAGCGATACAAATGGTGCAGTTTGGGGTTTTATTTTTATCAACATAATAATAATAATTCACATAACAAAATCCATATTTATATCTGATGAGCCTAGTCCCCAGGCTGCTCTGTTGTATCTGTTCAGTCCAGGTTTGGCTGGCTATCTAAGGTTGTTGTTAATGTGGTTATTTTACCTCTACCTCATCAAATAAAAGCAAGCAGAGTTTTACAAGAGAAATATTCACCACCAAATCAGAAGACTTTTTTTTAACTTCAGCTGTCGCATGTTGCTGTAATCCAAGAGAAAAGGTGTTTTTTCTCTAGCCCTCCTCCTTCACCATTCCAGTGCCACCCAATGCCAATGAAGATAAACAACATCCAGCTAGATGTAGAACAAAGAGGAAAGGAAGACTCAGTAGATGTGAAGGAGCCTAAAGACATGGTTATTTGAGGAGGCGTTTGACTAAGTGCTACAACAATTGGCAATTATGATTGGAACGGAGTATGGATAACGAGACTGGTTTATGATTCTACGATGAGACGGCGCGGATGATTTAGTGTAATTGTATTATTGATAGTTATGTTGATATTTTGTTGTGATATTGCCTTATTGTAAACTGTTTTTTATATGTTGTACACCGCCGTGAGTCGCCCTAGGGCTGAGAACGGCGGTCAACAAATGCAGTAAATAAATAAATAAATAAATAAACTTTGCAAAAAAAATGAGCTTCTTCATTAGAGGCTTTGTTAACTGAGGTATGCCTGTAATATGAGGTGGCCAGAAAGCTTTTCCTCACTATGACTTTTTTATTTCAGAGCAAATGTCTTGTGCTATTCAGAGCATTGGTAGGCTGCATCACAGAATCAGAAATGGAATTTTCCACCCTGCAAAGGAAGTAATCCTAGCTACCGGGCAGTGACACTTCCTCTCGCAGCTGTTGTATCTCAGGCATTGTTTTAGTCCAGGGGTTCTCAAACTTTTTCAGCCATGGAGCCCTTTTTGAAGCAAAAGTTTCTTGTGGAGCCCCAATAAATGTTTATATATTATTATATCATATCATATCTTATACAGTGTGTGTGTGTTGTGTGTGTGTGTGTGTGCGCGTGTGTGTAGCATGGGCTGGGCCAGTGGCAGAAGGATGGAGAGTGTTTGTGGGGACTAATTCACACAATGCAAAAAAAAGTACAATATTTAAAATGAAGAACAATTTTAACCAACATAAACTTAACAGTATTTCAGTGGAAGATCCTGAGGCCATCAAGTCCAACCCTCTTCTGCCATGCAGGAAAAATACAATCAAACACCCCCAACAGATGACAATCCAGCCTTTGTAGCAGGAGTAGTATTAGTAGCAGTAGTAGTATTAGAGGAGGGCGACTAAAATGATCAAGGGTCTGGAGAACAAGCCCTATGAGGAGCGGCTTAGGGAGCTGGGCATGTTTAGCCCGAAGAAGATAAGGCTGAGAGGAGATATGATAGCCATGTATAAATATGTGAGAGGAAGCCACAGGGAGGAGGGAGCAAGCTTGTTTTCTGCTTCCTTGAGGACAAGGCCATCTGTCAGGGGTGATTTGAATGCAATATTCCTGCTTCTTGGCAGGGGGTTGGACTGGATGGCCCATGAGGTCTCTTCCAACTCTTTGATTCTATGATTCTATGATTCTAGTAGTAGTAGTAGTAGTAGTAGTAGTAGTAGTAGTAATAGTACAAAATAATGCAAAAATACTGTGGGACTTTCGAATCCAGACTGACAAAGTTTTGGAACACAATACACCAGACATCACAATTGTGGAAAAGAAAAAAGTCTGGATTATTGATGTTGCCATACCAGGTGACAGCCGCATTGAGGAAAAACAACAGGACTTGTGATCAACTTGTGATTTTGTGATATGAAATCCAGCATATAGATCTCCTTTGCTGTGACATACTGTGCTTTTGTGTCAATAATAATAATAATAATAATAATAATAATAATAATACTAGCAGAAACCCCAGAGGAGGTGGAGATCCTCCAGGGCTCCCTGGAGCAGTTTGAGAACCGCTGCTCTAGTCTATAGACTGGATTTATAATCTAAAGCAAAATAATATCCTTCCCCAAACTCTCATTCTGCATCTCTATATCTTGAAGTTGTGTGCTTCTGTTATCATTTTGCAATGTAGCAGTTTAGAAATAAGTACAGGCTAAAAAAGTTACATTTTTTGACTGCAATTGACAGGGGAATTGATAAGGAGCCAATCAATTGCTGCATTGAGGCAGTTAGACCCATGGCCATTTCTAAGATATGGTCCCTTTTTGTGCACACATGAGCTGGTCTACAAATGGTAGCACAAATTAGTGATTAATTAAAATACAACATGCAATAGAAAATGGTACAAAAAACTTCATACATGTACACTCAATCCTCCACATTTAACTTTTGCAAATTTGTTTGTTCACAAGGAACTTTAGGAAATAACAGTTAGGTATTTTCCTCCCCCAACCCGCTATGTTCCACGATATGAATAGAGTTTTTGGGCTTGAGTTTAGTCATTGCACTCTTTCCAGTTGGGTTACAGATGCTGTAGGCTAGCGGCTGAGGTGGTTTTCTCAGGAGTAGTATCTGAGGCTAGTGCAATGCCTCCAATATCCCCATTGAAAACACAGTTGTTGATGGAATCTCTTTTCTCCTCTCTGGCTTGCCGCAGATGTTGCTGTTGTTGTTGTTGTTGCATTTCTTTGGCAGTAGTGTTATTCTGCAGTGGTGTAGGGGGTGCACTCTTTCCTTCCCTGGGAAATAGATCATGAGTAGGGGGTCTGCTGCCATCCTTCCTGTGGACCAGGACCTGAATTGGAGACAGGGTGCGGGTCGCGTCCTTCTCGTTCGGCTCCAGCTCCAGTAGGTCATTTATAGGGGCCACTTCTAAGTCCATTTCATCCTGTGGGGACTCTACAGTGGACATTAAGCCCGCCCTTGGCTCAACCGGGATCTCTATGGTGGTCGCTGCAGTCTCGAGGTGGCCCAATCCAAGATCAGTGTCTCGCTGATCGCCGCAGACTGCATTGCTCAGGCTCATGGGGTGCTTCTGTGATGGTTTGCTATCAGCCTTGGCTGGACTGGGCTGTGGCTTATTTTTTCCGGAAGCCTCCCTGGAGGCTAGTAGGCTGGGTTTGCCCACTTTTGCAGGCATGTCGTCGCCGTGCATGGGAGTTATCGGTGGGCTAATGTCCAGATCGCGGAAAACCCTCAATGGGACTATTTGGAATTTGAGCAAGAAGAGCTTCATCTTCATCAGCATAGATGGTAGTATTGATTGCTCAAAAGTAATTTCGATGTTCTTGTCTGCAGAGACTTGGGGTAACCATTTCACTTTAATTAGGTCCACACTTGGAGGGGGTATACGTAGTAGCTGGCCCAACGATGTTCTGATAGTTCTGTATGATCTCCATCTACCCTTGTTTATGTTGTTGTTGGCAATTCGCAGCCTTATCTGGTTTGCTTGCAGGATTCTATTACACTTGGTAGAAGTAAATGAGTAACCTCTAGCTACCTTTGTGTAGGGCTTTTCATCCTTTGTATTTGCCTCCCTTCTGGGCCCCATACCGACCGTTTGAGCTGGTTGAACTGAGCTTCCCTTTGGGGCCTCATTCTTCTGAGCAAAAGAGTCAAAAGAGAGCCTTAACTGCTCAATTTGGTTTGTTATACTTTTAAATCTTTCAAAAATATATGCCACTGTTTTCGCAGTCAGCAAACAAGCACTGGTGGGGTTAGTTTGTTTTACTAGCTCAGATTGTTTGAGCTCGGCAGTTAATGAGCTTGTTCCAGGAGTATCTCCTCCACACAGCCCCAAAGACGCTTCTTCCTGGAATACTAGTGAGTTGTTGCTGGAGTTTATATTTTCTTTATCCGAGGGTAAGCAACTGTTATCGGTAATTAATGGATACAGTTCTGGTGTACTCACGTTTCCCACAAGGTCGTCTATCTTTAGTTGTTTGGAAGGTTTATGCTGTTTGAGCGTCTCTGGGCTGGACCTTGTTCGTTGGTTTTTGTTTTTGTCTCTTTTGTTTCCCATTTGTAGAAGCTAAGATAAGTTGCAGGGATGGAGTATAAAAAAATAAGAGAGATAAAAAACTGGAAGTGGTAAGCTTCCTTAAAATGCCTTGGGTTCAAACGACACCAAGAAATTCTGGTCAATAGTAAACAAAACAAACTACCCCCAGGAACCACCCAGAGCAGATATCTCCCTAGAGAGATGGGCCGAGCACTTCTCGAAAGTGTTCGCTGGAATAAACCCTCCCCAAGAAAACGAGGACAGTGGAGAGCTAGTGGGTCCAAGCTGGGAGCCGGTTACATCTCAGGAAATCATCGACTTGATACACAACCTAAAGACAAATAAGGCCCCAGGTAGCGATGCCATTATCCCTGAAATACTGAAGGCAAACCCACTGTGGTGGGCAAATCTACTAGCAAACCTCTTCACAAGGATCAACGAAACGGGGTACATGCCAAAGGCATGGACCTCCTCTATAATGGTCCCAATATTCAAAAAAGGAGACCAAAACGATCCAACGAACTATCGGCCCATTAGCCTGCTCTCCATAATAGGGAAGATGTATGCCAAGCTCCTGAAAACTAAGCTAGAATCATGGGTCAACCAAAACAACATAATTGGCCCAGAACAAGCAGGATTCTCTAAGGGGAAATCAACATTAGACCAGACTCACATCTTGGCCCACCTAGCCAACAAATACTCAAAAAATTGCCCTAATAAGCTAAACGTGGCCTTTTTGGACCTGAAGGGGGCATTTGACTCTGTGAATAGAGAAAAGTTGTGGGAAAAACTAGCAGCCCTCAACATAGACCCAAGACTCCTCTTCTTGATTAAGAAATTGCACAACCAAAACCTCTGCCAGGTGAAAGACCACAGGGGATGCCTGTCAAACCCGATCCTGGTTCAAAAGGGAGTCAAACAAGGGTGCGTACTAGCCCCACTCCTCTTCAACATCTTTTTGCACGATCTCCCTACAGCCCTGGCCCAAGTTGACGGGCATAGCCCCAAGATTGGCCCAAAGCATGTCCCCCTTTTGCTATTTGATGCAGCCCTATTATCCCTCTCTCATGTGGGCTTAAAAAGACTCCTGCATAAATTTGTTGATTTTTGCGAGACGAACGAACTGCAGGTGAACTATGATAAAACCAAAATCTTGGCGTTTGGGAAAAGCAACAAAAGACAAGTCTGGAAGATAAAGGGCCATTATATTGAGCAAGTAAAACATTTCAAATACCTAGGTCTCTGGTTTAGCAACAACTTGTCATGGTCCACCCACTTAAAATATACACTGGCCTGGGCCAAATCGAGTGGCAGTGCGACCAGGAGGTTCTTCCACTCCAGGGGTAATCAATATATCCCCCTAGCTCTGCAAGTCTTCAAAGCAAAGGCGATGTCACAACTTCTCTATGGAGCACCCATCTGGTTAACCCCCAATAACAGCGCCATCAGATCTTTTCATTCGAAATTCCTCCACAAACTATATGGTGCCCCCAACTGTGTCCCGTATGCAGTTCTTTGTCTTGAATCTGGGCAATATTCTATTGAGGCTACTATCTGGCTAATCGTCATTAAATTTTGGCTATCTATACACTATCAAAGTCCCAGCGACTCTCTGACTCAACTCACCTTGAGCGAACTCCACCACTCCAAATGGTGCTCAACTGTCCTAGCAAAGATCGGGGAATTGGGCTACGACAGCGATTTCCTGACTTTACTATCTTTTTCCGAGATTTCTACCCTCATCAAAAGGAGGCTGCTAGAAAGGGACTACAACCAATTGTTGAGCTTGGCAAACAAATCCTGCTCACCTATTAACTTGGCAATTCCATACACACAGGGAAATCCAGCCTTTTACATCACAGAGCTCACCAACCCCTCTTACAGAAGAGCCTACATGCTGGCTAGATTTAACATCATGCCATCGCCGCTCCATAGAGGAAGACTCAATGGCCTCCCGAGCGACAAGAGGGTCTGCCCCTGCAGCACAGGACAGCTAGACTCCATACCGCATATTCTCCTGCACTGTCCACTCTACCAGGAGCTAAGATCCAGCCTGCTAACACAAGCTATAGATTCACTGAAGAACCGCAGCGATTCTGACAAAGTGATTTTGCTTTTAAATTGCCAGGACTTTAGCTGCTGCCTTTCAGTGGCAAGATTCCTGAATGAAGTCTGCAAACTGAATGTGTAGCAAACGAGAAGCCCTTTTTTATTACGTGTACTATGTTTTATACTCTCTGCCATGTTATGCCAATAAAGGCTTATTGTATTGTTGTTTGTTCACAGATTTGTTGCACATGTTCTCTCTAGGAATCTCTGGGACCTCTAGGGCAACTCTAAAGTCAGCTTCTGCCAGAAAAATACAGAAGGGTTTCATTCTTTCCACTTTTGTGACAGTCCTGCATCCCTAACTCCCATATAGGTGGATGGCCTACTGTACATATTTTGATCTTTGCAATTTCTGTGACTAACAGTCTGTTACTCAAGGACCATATAAATAGTGGTACTACAAGAAATGTTGGAAGACTCAGGTGGTAACAGGGGAAGGAGAACCAGCAACATTTATCTTCCACCAGTGAATCCCATAGCCTTTAAACAGCTGCAACTAGAAATTAGGCATGTATATTTCACTATACTTTTACCAATTACACTAAAAGGGTCACTATACAAGTGTGCATCACAAGAAACAGGTTTCCTCCCATCCAAGTACTTTCAAGGCTACATTAGACTATTTCTTTGTTGGATTTTCTGCAACAGACCAACCACCACTTCGGATTTCTTGGCATATATGCTCTCCATGCAAACATTATGCTGAACACACATAGATGTGGAAGAATCCATGGGTTATTCTTGCTCTCTCTCCTATATGCCATTATTCTATCTTTTAATTTACATTTTGTCCAAAGGGATCTGGTGAGGTTACTTTATTTTTGAACAGTATAGCTGTAGAGACAAGTAGATGAGGTATTTTCAACAGCAGCATTACAATGCCATTTTATGAACCTTGATGAAAGAGCCACACATTTATTTGGATTTAGAAATGTATTGTGAAATCTACAAACTTTACAAAAAGTAGGGCTGCGATGGCACAATGGGTTAAATGCTGACCGGCTGACCTGAAGGTTGGCAGTTCGAATGCATGGAACAGGGTGAGCTCCCACTGTTAGCCCTAGCTCTTGTCAACCTAGCAATTTGAAACATGCAAATGTGAATAGATAAATAGGTATCGCCTTGACAGGAAAAGGCAAAAAGACACTCTAAGCTGTCTTACCAGCCCCATGACCAGAGGTAACAACGCAGGCTCCTCAGCTTGGAAATGGAGAAAAGCACCTTCTCCAGAGCCAGAGATGAGCACCTCCTCCAGAAGCCAGAAATGAAAGGAGAAGCCTTTGCCTTGTCTGTGTTTGTATGTCTCATTGTATGTGATTGTAAGGCCATGAATGTTTGCCTATGTCTGCTGTATATACTGTAATCCACTGAGTACCCTAGTGGAGAAGGATGGAATATAAATAAAGTTTATTATTTTACTGACACAAAAGCACAGTATATCACAGCAAAAGAAATCTATATGGTGGATTTCGTATTAAAAAAATCACAAGTTGAACACTTCCCAAGCATCTAGGACTGTGTGATGCATTTTCGAATGATGCGCACAGATCCAAGTCAGGTGGCCTTTTGCAGTTGACAGATCATGATTTTGTTGATGTTTATTGTTTCCAAATGCCAGCAGAGATCTTTTGGCATGTCACCCAGTTCGCCAATGACCACTGGGGCCACCTGCAGGAGCCTTTGCAGTTCGATTTTGAGGTCTTGATAACAGCTGAGTTTTTCCTGTTGTTTTTCTTCAATGTGGCTGTATATTATTATTATTATTATTATTATTATTATTATTATTTTTATTATTATTTGTATTGTCGAAGGCTTTCATGGCTGGAATCACTAGGTTCTTGTGGTTTTTTTCGGGCTATATGGCCATGTTCTAGAGGCATTTCTCCTGACGTTTCGCCTGCATCTATGGCAAGCATCCTCTGCTTGCCATAAAAAAACCACAAGAACCCGAAAAAAACCACAAGAACCTATTATTATTATTTGCTTCTGTTGTTGTAATGGTGTAGGCCTTCCAATTTAATATCCACTGAGAAAATGTCTAGTGGTACCTAAAGGCTGACAAGTTTTCTGACATCAGTTTTCATAGACTCCAGCC